CGCCCCCGCCGTAAAGGACTGCTTGGAGGAGATGAGCGACTCGGTGTACGAACTCAAGGACTCGATCGCGGAGATGAAGGCCATCAACTACTCGAGTTTCGAGATGGTTGTGTCGGATGTTCAGACATGGGTCAGCGCTGCTCTCACCGACCAGGTCACGTGCATGGACGGTTTCGAAGAAGCCGGAGGAGGAAAGACAGAAGTGAAAGAATTGGTACGGAAACATATAGATAGAGTCACTCGTATGACGAGTAATGCGCTCGCTTTCATCAATCTCTATGCGTCCACCGTTCTCCAGAACTGACCGTATAGACAATTCACCAAAACGAAATTGTATAATCGTATAATTCTACTTTTAATAATATCCCCATATTTGTGCCTTCGTATATGTATCTATATGTGTTGTAGTTTTGTTATTCCCGTTTTGTTGGAGATTTTATGTCGTAAAACTTTGTAATTCTTTTTGTTGACAAATATATGGACATGTTGTAAAAATTCGATATTTTGTGTACATATGGGCGGGACCCAGCATGTTAGGGGCCAGGTGTTCCCTTTCTAAAATAAAAATACATTAAATCACCTTATAAGTTTTATAAAATTGTAGAGAAAATTACTAAATGCCCCCTAATAAATTTAAATTTATATCTTTAAAAAATTGTAATAAATTTAGTAATGCCCCCAATTATAAAAATTCTTTGGTCGCTACTGTATATGTGTATATGTATGTATGATAACTGTATGGATGTCATGTGTTTGTTTGTTTCGTAATGTCTTAAAGTTATGTAGTATCCATGTTGTCTACTTGTTGGTCGATTTATTTTATTTAATTTTTTCCTAAATGAAAAACAAAACGTGCGACCCAAAAACCGAGTTCGTTTTGGGCTTTAATTAATGGGCTTTGCCTATTTTTACAATTATGTCCATTTCGCAATTCATCATCCCAAAAAAAACATTGGGAACGCTTGGCTACGTGAGTAATACTGTTCCATTAAGTTCTGTTGTCGGGGATAAATTTATCCTTGCCACGTTTTAGGATAGATTCCAAGAACGACGTCGTCTAGCTTCGTTCCTGACGTGTGTTCCGAGAAGCCCAACACGACATATCGACTTTGATCTCTTCTTTGGTTCGGTTTCTCGCATCTCCCATTGTCTGGTCGAAAGATCGATGCTTTATTCGGTAGATTCGATTGATCTTTCTTCATCGAATGATTACTGAAGTTGGGTAAGTTTTTGCTTAGATCTTCACAATGTCCCAAGAGTCGAGCCCTCGTCGTTTCCTATTTACTGCTTGAAATCTCTGCTCCACATATTTTTTTATGTGATTTGTTCGTGCCCTCTCTTGTTCTTCGTTTTCGTTCCTGGTTTACTGTGTTTGAATATCATGAAATGTGGGTTTAAATTTGCAAACTTTGTTTGTGATTACTGATTCAAAGTTCTTTGTCCACCAGGTGTTTGTGTTAATTCCTCTACGAGTTTGACACACTGAGTTTCTAGGATAAATTAGCAGTTGATTCGATTAAACTTGTGAAAGAAGTTGAAATGATCGGTTACATTGTACCGGGGTCCGAATTTCCATTCCGAGTGCTAAAAATTGAGAATGTGATTAGAAACCTTGTGATGTTGGGTTCTGTTGTTGCTATTTCGTTGGTGGCGGCTGAATATATAGACAGTGGGTTTCCCTCTTCCGCTGATTTGAAGACACGGTTTTAATGTCTTTTGCCATAGTAATGACATTGTTAAAGAAAGAAAGATATTCTGAGGTTTCGGTATATGATTTTGGTCCTAAGGTTATTTGTTTTTTTAAAAGCAGAGCAGGTGATGTTCAGACGGATTCATAAAAATGGAAGAATAAGAAACCTTGTGATGGATATATAGATCTTTTTTGACATTTTCGGATCCGATTGAAGAATGATCTCATCTGTTCTGGACATGGATGTAGGAGAGGAGCTTATTTAGTATCGCTCCAATGAACGGTGCTTCCAACAGCTTACGGGCAGCGTTCTCTTACTGCGTACAGCAAGTGCGAAGCTATGACTACCATCACTACCTCTGCCTTCTCCAACTCCCACCCGATATGCGAAAACCCGCATTTGCCCTCCGTGCTTTCAACGTAGAGACGGCAAAAGCCATGGATGTTGCATCTGACCCCAAAATTGGTCTCATGAGGTTGCTTTGGTGGCAAGAAGCAATCGATAAACTCTACTCCGGAAAGCAAATAAACCATCCGGCTGCGCTAGCTCTGTCATGGGTAATATCCGAGCACAAGATAAGTAAAGCATGGTTAAAACGTTCGGTTGAAGCCAGAATACGAGATGCCCAAAGGGAAGCCGATGATATACCCGAAAACATCGAGGAGCTTGAGAAATACGCAGAGGACACGGTTTCAACTCTTCTCTACAATACCCTTCAAGCGGGAGGCATCAGATCAACCATGGCTGATCACGCTGCTTCACACATCGGTAAAGCCAGTGGCCTCGTCCTCCTGCTTAAGTCCTTACCATACCATTGTTCCAGAAACCGCCATTACGCATATATCCCGGGAAAACTAGCTGAGAAACACGGTTTACTTGTAAGAGAAGGTGGGCGGTCAGAGATCCGGTTGGATCCACACTCTAGAGAAGGATTGTGTAACGTGGTGTTCGATATTGCTTCTGTTGCGAATGTACATCTGCTGAAAGCTCGCGAACTGGCTGGAAGAGTTCCGATGGAAGCTAAGCCGGTGATGCTGCAATCGGTGCCTGCACAGGTTCTGCTGGATTCGTTGAGAAAGGTACATTTCGATGTTTTCGATCCGAGGTTGCAGAGAGGAGTTCTGGGTGTTCTTCCTTTGTGGTTTCAGATGAAACTCAAGTGGTATTCATGGAGAGGACAATACTGAAAACTCTGTCTCCCCTTGTTTTCAGTTCCGTCAGAGTTGGGCCTTGAACCCAAATGGGCCATTGTCTTTTACTCTCTTTTTTTGAAATTATAGGCCTTAATGGGCCATGCTTGTAGCCCAAGTTGTCTTTATTTGAATTTCTTCAATAAAATCATCACATGATTTATCTGATGAATTTGATAGATAATTTTTTGTTCGGTATGCCATATATTTTGATGGGTCCCCTTATTCATATATAATTCAATTGATATAACTAACAAAAAGCAGACCTTTTGTATAAGCATTTTATACAAGACTTTGTGTATTTCATATTATACATGCGGTAGAGAAACTCAGCAATTTTCTTTTATATTTTGTTCGGTCATTTTTTTTTTCAGATTTTTGGGTTATGTAAAATTTCACCTATTACATTTTATATTGGTTTTCGGTTTGTTTCGAATATTGTTCATATACTATTTGTATTCAGTTTTCACTAAAAAATACTCCTTTTTTTTTTAATTTTCGTTTTGTTCTATTTTTTTTATTTTATATTAAACCCGAATTCGATTTATTTAATTTTTAAAAAGATCAAATGCGATCGGGTTGGACTCATACGTTTATAAATTATTCAATTCCGTTTGATTTGATTTTACGTGCCCAAAACCAAATATTGATCAAACTAGAAATTTTGATTTTCTTCATGATTTCAAATCCCAATAATACCCCTCTTATTTATGTCTTATTTCATAATCTTATAATTACCGCTATTATTAGCATTATTAATCTGAAGAAGACATATAAACCAAAATGCAATCATATGATGCAGTTTCAATTTTACATCACCTTTTATTTATTTTATTTTTAATATCGGGATAATAAAAAAAAACAATATAAAATACATGAAAACTTGCAATGATTAGTCATCACGCCTTTCAGCAACCCAACAGTGAAATCATGGAGGTTGGTGCATATGTTTTAGCTTTGGTGTAAAATAGTTGACCTCTGAATGCCACCAGTCAACTGAAAAAAAAAATTATTCTATTTTTTTATTATTCCATTTCTTTTTCAACCAAAAAAACAATTTCTGCCCGAAAAGTTGATATAATTATGCACAAAAACACACGATATTAACAAATTGATTGGCTTTTAGCATGTTTTTTAGCGTGTAAACTTTTTTTGTCGGAAATTTCTATAAATTGCTCGTTAAATTTAACAAATTGACACTTATCAAAATGTGACTGGGTTCACTTTCATCCCTTACCAAAAGAAAAAGTGGAAAATGAAACAAAAACTAAGGCTGATTATTACTCCTTCCGTTTCAAAATATTTGTAGTTTTAGATTATTTTTCATGTTTCAAAATATTTGTCATTCTACATTTTCAAGATATTTTTTTACAATAGTTTCCAATTTTATCCCTATCAAATTCCAATAAATTATTAATGATAATATTATTTTTATTATTAAATAAAGGTATACGTGACTTTTTCTCTCTTTTCTTAGAAAATATGAAATAACCTAAAACAACAATTATTTTGAAACGGATGGAGTAGTTAGATTTGTTGAATTAGCATTGGCCGAATACATAACATGCGGAAATTCTCTGATTTAATGATTTCGTATGCATTAAATAATTAGTCGTTTGGTGCATGAATGGTAATTAAGGCCATGCACTATTATTGTCAAAGACTAGTAATTGATAATCATGAGAATAATAACAAGTATTAAGATTTCAAGTTTTTTTTTGGTTTTAAGGTGATTTGTATTATATATCCAAAAAATTTCAAGTTCATATATATATAAAAATCAATCACTTGAGATTTATGGGGCAAAATATAAAGAACCATCGAAATTAATAAAGAGAATCAAAGATTTATGTTAATCAGTTGCTATTAGAACACACAGAAAATAATCGAGACAAATCAAATCATAAATTATAAATTAGATTTACAATTTTTCAATTCGTGAATTGGTTTTTGCGAACTACCTCTTGATTCGTTTGGAGCTCAACTGATTTTTTTTTTTTTATATATAAACTTTAAAAATTGTAAATCAATTCATCGAAAATTTAGCTAAATCCCGATCTGCTCACGGATTACACGCCCATTTCCCAAATATTTACATCTTCTATTAGAAAATTGTATTTATATGTTTTCGCATCAGACATATTTTTATTTTAGTTCGACAAGAATCTGGCAGGAGAATCGAACTTCCCCACGTGTTTTAATTTTAGGCATTTCGTAATGATTAGAATCAGAGAGACAAATTGAGAAGGAAGATATCCTCCCGTCAAATGGGTCTACGACACGTGGCCATGGGAACTTTCTGAAACTTGATTTGGCTTGGGCGCTCTTTTTGTTTTATTAATTAGAATTAAGCCGTTAATTAGTTAGTTATAGATTAAGATTGTGTAAATATATTATAACAGGATTATTAGATGTTAAATGTAGAGTTAATGAGGGACTTCTGCAACCTTTGCCATGCGTATGTACGTAGGATTATTATAATTGGTTGTCTTGTAGAATTTACACATTCCATTGGAATTTAATATGAACATTTATTTCCACCATATTTCCAAGTTTAAAAAACAATCTGATGAATTTTACAATGGACCATTTTACATATATTATAGAATATGCTAAATAATATGTAATGTTATATACATGAGATATGTATATATATATATATATATGCAGTGGCGGATTTAGAAAAAAATATAAATGGGGGCATTGATTTTATATATATCATTTTATCGAATCAAATAATATTTTTATGGGGGGATAGGGTAATTTTTTTCATAATTTTACAAAAATTGTCTAAGAATTACTTATTTTTTTGAATTAGAGTGGGGGCATGTGCCCCCACACCTCCTAACCTAGATCCATCATTGTATATATGTATGTATTTTATGGACGGGTTATATAAATAGCAGGGTTTAAATAAAAAGTTTGGTCGTCCATGGTTCAAAAGTTTACTTTAGATATTTTATAAAAGTATTGTTCTCAAATAATATTATGAAATTATAACAACATATATATATATATATATATGCAGGTAACTTGGTAATTTAAGATATTCTATCTGAAAAAATGGAAAACAATCGACATAATATTTATTTCCATGCCTTAAACATTCCATATATATGGTAGGTAGCCAATAGGAACTCATGAGAAGTTATTGATTTGTAACCTCTTTAGACAAGAGTATATATTTTGATTAGATTGATATTTAATATATTTTTTCTGCTAATAATTTTAGATTAACCCTAAAATACATTTGAAAGTTGTAAATTTCTTTGCACACTATATACATCATGCGAGTGTGTTTATTTACTGTTTTGATAATGCATGTTATCTTGTCATATATAAATATATACACAAACCTCATACATGTGAAGTTATGAATAATATTCAACATATACTATTATTCTCTATATATAATAATTTAAATTCGATGTCAAATAGGTGAATGACAAGAGGCAAGGTGGGACCAAAATTGACACTTTTGGATCAAAGATCTTTCCTTTTGCTTCACTTCTATACTTCGTTTCAACAACACACAAAAGCAAAAAAAAAAAAAACAATTATACTCAATATCCTTAATTTTTAAATAATAATTCTGAATTTTTTTCGCTATTTATTAATTTGATAATTAAAAACCGAATCTTCACTCCCAAGTCAATAACCTCAGCCGCAGAACCATCCGAGTTTTAGTGAACTTATACCTAAATCTAAATATTATCTATATATAACTTACCTATCAATTTTTTTTTTTAAAAAAGAATGTTTAAATAACCTTTTCTTTTCTCGTTTATGGTTGTATTAGTTAAAAGTAAAAAAAGTAAAAAAAAAAAAAACCGCGGTAAACGGTGGGACCCACCTGGCCAACCGGACTGCAACAGCGAATAGTGAAATCATGATAGAGGGCTAGCTCACGCCGGACCATCAGCCGCCACGTCACATCATCCCTTTTTTTGCGGGCCCCATCTACTTATAAAAACGGCCCAAACTCCACGCTGTTTTATTTAAAATTCATTTTTTTCCTTCTAATTTCGTCACTTTTCTTTCTTCGCGAGGAAATTTTTGTCTGGGTTGACCAAGTAGACCTATTTTTCAACGTAAGATTGATAAGATAATTTTTAATTGTAAATTTATTATTTCAAATTTACTAAAGAAATACATTTAATCAAATTATAAGAAAATAAATTTGAATTATTTAAAGACAATATTCATTTTAAAATATATACAACAAAATACATCCAAAATATCATAACCAAAAAATCACCATGCAAAATGCAAATATATACGAGTTCAAAACAATTAAAATATTTTCACCTTTTTCAACTTTAAAAAGTTTCTCTTTTAAGTTTTAACACATTTTATTTTTATTTTTTTTTATCAAACAATTAGTCCATGAGAAACATAAAGTTATTAATGTCTTCTCATATATAATATATAAATATATTTGACAAAATTCCTATTAAAAGAAAAAGAATCTCTCACAAATTCCACCCTTCCTTCTTTTCTTCCACAGCCGCAGTTTCCTCGGGTTACTCGGCTCGGCTTCAATGTCTCTGAGCTGAGCCCTATAATCTTGCGGTTTGTCATTCCAATTTTTTTTGTTGTTGCATATATAAACAGTATATATATAATTTTTTATATATTCAATAATTTGAATTATATGACTTTTACTCTATAAATATACATGGAAAAACATGAAAAAAAACGTAGCAAAAAGTGAGGGAAGAAACTTTTATATTGTATATATTATTAGTTTGATTCAAATGTAGAAAAAATTTATTTATACAATTGATACATTAAACCGAATCAACTCGGATTAAACCAGTTTATAACAATTGTTTATCATTCTTTTTTTTTTTACTATGATGCAAAAATTTCTATTTTAATATTCAAGATATCCGAAGGGAGTGATTATAAATACAAAATAACATATGTAGAAGTTCTAGATAACTATATCCTACCCTTTCTTATATGATTTTTATTTACATATATAAATATAGTAGTACGATAAAAAAAAACATATATATTATTTTAGGGTATTTGTTTATAGAGGCTTATTATTGTATTTTCAATACATGTAATTAGGGTTATCACTTGTATAAACACTTAACCTATTGTAACATGTTTTCATTAAGAGAAATTATTACGTTATATTGTATTAGAGTCTGGTTGAAAACATGTTATAATAGGTTAAATATTTACACAAATGATAACCCTAATTACATGTATTGAAAATACAATAATAATTAACCTTCTATATTGTTATCCCCTTACTAATCAAAATATCAAATCGAAGTATAATATATATATATGTATGTTTGTATGTATGTATGTATGTATGTATGTATGTATGTATGTATGTATGTATGTATGTATGTATGTATGTATGTATGTATGTATGTATGTATGTATGTATGTATGTATGTATGTATGTATGTATGTATGTATGTACGTATGTATGTGTGTGTGTTTATTATATACTGTATTATATACATGTCATATAAAAGTAATAACAAAAATAAATAATAAAATACAGGAGGCCAACCAAAGGGAGATCGCGTGCGTATGGAAATGGAGGCTTGGATAGTTATTTTTATTGCACCAAATCCTCCAAACCGTATGACACATTGGGTTTAATTAAAAAAAAAACAGTGTTCTCCCTAAAATTGAAAAAAAAAACGATTTATGTAATACAACATTTAATAATATATTGGAATTTATTAAAAATTACATGAACCCTACATTATTCCGAATTTGAATTAAGATCTCGTTGATATATGAAGTTCAAAATTTAAGAAATGATATTAACACACTTTTAGTTAGAAACATCTGATAAAACATTCATTTCAAATATACAATATAATATTTTTTAGACCAATTTAATTGAATTAAACTCGAATATAAAAACAAGACCAAAACAAAATTCTCCATCACATATATATATATTCCTTCAAATTTTCTTGTAACATGGTATCACAACTTACAAATGATAGGTTTCAACAAAATCCAATTGTTATATTTATCGTTAAAATTTATTTTTAACCAATCGGATAAATCTCATTTAAAAGGAAAAAAAATATAATGTGTAAGGTAACTTAAAGTGACCAGTGGATGAGACGGTTCACAAAGGATTTACACATTTTCATATAGGGTCATAATTACGTTGCAAAATATCATGCACCTATTATATATACATTTTTTATATGTATGGATCGAACTGATTACTTTTTCCAAGTTTTCTTCAAGAAGACACACGCACTTTAATAATATTTAAGGTATGTCAATTTCTCTTTTGGAAATACAAGCCACTTTTTTATTTTTCTTCTGAAATGATTATTGTGAATAAAAATATATATAGAAATTTATATGCAACTGAAGTCTTTTGAGTCTCTTGTTCGAATTCCAAAAAGAAAACAATTCGATTGAAATATCATATTATTTCATTTCTGTTATTGCAATTAATATCCTCCTAGTAATATATTTCATCATAAAGATTTTAAGATTCATATATATTATTGTAAAACAGCACATATAATGTATAAAACCATACATATAATGTAACTAGATTTAAATAAATATATATTACGGGATACAATAACCTTAACGAACGAAAACTTGATGTAAATTAAGCATCAAACTAATTCATAATTAAGGTCTCTATCAGTAGCTGGTGGGCAGTCGTCTCCCCTTCCTCTCTCTCTCTCTCTAAATCTTACTTGAACCATCTTATCCGCCTCCTTTTTCTCTCCCGAAGCTTCTGCAGCAAATAAAGCTCCTCTCTCTCTCTCTCTCTCTCTCTCTCTCTCTCTCTCTCTCTCTCTCTCTCTCTAGAGAGAGGACAGGGAGGGAGACCATAATTGAGAAGGACAGAGAGAGGATAGAAAGTGACACAAAGTAATATTAGATTATTAGGACACGCTTGTATGCTTTTGTTTGGTTCTTGCTTATTTATTCTTTTTTTCATTTTTTTTTCCATTTTTCTTTCTTTCTTCCGTTCTTCTTCTTCTCCTTTATCTAACCCTTCTCTCTTTCTCTTTTCCCATTCTTCTTCGAGTTCTGTCGTCCCCTCTCCTTCTCTCGGGGATTCGACCTCTAACGATTCCCGAGGAACACTGTCAATCTTTTCGATTTCTACTCGCAATCTCTTTTTAGGGTTTGCTTCTTGTTTTCTATCTTTATTTTCTTCTCTATAGCTAACCTATATAAGTGAACAACACTAATAGTTCCACTAAACGAGGCCGGGAAGAAGATTCGACGACCGCGCATGAGCACTTGTCGTAACTTCAGATACGCACTAGTCCAAGCTTTTTAGGGTTTCTTCTGGATCTCTCAGAATAATCCTCTTTCGAGTTTTCAGAAGGTAATTAACCCTAATTTTCATAATAAAAGTGGGTTGCATACCCTAAGGGTAAAGACTATTCGGAAGCCGTAATCTTTGATCTCCTGTTTAGATATTTGGCTTTTTGGGAGATTTCTCAAGATTTTCACTCGTGTAGTGTTTCATCAATACCTCTTTTCATCTCTGTTTTTTTTTTCCTTGAGATTTGTATACCTTTTGTATACATATCATCACGTTCATCATCATCATCATCATCATCATCATCATCAGTGTTGCTTACATTAGAAGCTAAGCAAAAAAGCAGATCGAATCAAGTTTTGTTTGTAGCAACAAAATATTTTAATGAACAAAGACTTATATATCATCTCTTTGACAGATATCGATAGAGAGATTAGTTAATTTTTTATATTAAGAAAATCATGATTTGGAGATGGTGTTGGCTCTTCGCATGTAATCTCTTTACGCTTTTACTCCTAATTCGATCCCTAATTAAAGTACGTGGAGTTAATATCCTTCTAAATAGTTAATGTTATAGTCTGGATAGTTAATCCAAGAACTAATCAGGAGATTGAACTGTGTCGTAGATGTGATTAATTAGTAGTTATTTGCTATCCCAAAGTTTGATTTTCAGAAGGTAAATAACACAATGGTGGTATAAGTTATTGTTGGAAACTGATTTAGTTAGCTGATTATATATGCATCGCATCAAATTAATTTATATATGTTAATAATATGAAATTAATTGTGTTCTTGAGTTGGAAAAAAATTAAACGATGTATATCGTTAAACCATGCAATAATACGCTTCGGATAAATAATGTAAATGCGCAATACGTAATTCAGTCATAATTGTTTTGGTATTTCTGAGTGTCGATCGGTCCAAAACTTAATTATCATCTGGAAATAAACGCATAATTATAAGATCTGGAGAATGATAAGCCGGATCATGCGATAGAATTCAATTGCGATTTTCTGATCAAATACATATGAAACCACCATATATATACTATACGTACCCGAACAATGTACATCAACACACTATAATATATGCTATCCATATATAACATCAACCATAATATTCTAATTTGTTTTGATGATCTTGTATCAGCAGGTTTAATTTGGTGCACAAGAAGAGACGAGACATGAACTCGTTTTCGCACGTGCCTCCCGGCTTCAGATTTCATCCCACGGACGAAGAGCTCGTCGATTACTACCTGAGGAAAAAAGTCGCCTCCAAGAGAATTGAAATCGATTTCATCAAAGATGTCGACCTTTACAAGATTGAGCCATGGGATCTCAATGGTTTGAACCGATCGTTTTATATATATATATGTATATGTATATATATATATATATATATATATATATATCATGAACCTTTTTTTCTTCTCTTCTTCTTCTTTGTTTGGAAAATCTCTCTCAGAATGTTTTCCCCCTTTTTGGGACACAGATTTGTGCATCATAGGGAACGAAGAGCAGAACGAATGGTACTTCTTTAGCCATAAAGACAAGAAGTATCCGACCGGAACACGGACCAACAGGGCAACAAAAGCCGGGTTTTGGAAAGCCACGGGAAGGGACAAGGCGATATACTCGAGGCATAGCCTTATTGGTATGAGGAAAACCCTTGTCTTTTACCAAGGAAGAGCGCCCAATGGACAGAAATCCGACTGGATCATGCATGAATACCGGCTTGAAACCAATGAAAACGGGACCCCTCAGGTATATATATACACGTACCAATAGAAAAGTGTGGTAATCTTTCAAACCCATCTGAGTATTCTCACAGTACAAGACATATCCATGTATTCAAACATCGGTCATATGTTTGGTAATATATACATTCACCTAGGCTAATGTCGGAGGCTTATGATTATAACATGCTCGTATTGATTAATGACAGGAAGAAGGATGGGTGGTATGCAGGGTGTTCAAGAAGAGATTGGCGGCCGTGAGGAAAATGGGAGACTACGAGATATCACCGACGCATTGGTATGACGATCAACTCTCCTTCATGGCTTCAGACCTCGAAACGAATTCTCCAACGCGGAGAATTCTCCCGAGCCACCATCAACTTCAGCCGCCTTATGGTCTCGTCAATGCCGCCGCTTACAATCTCCACAACCCTAACTTGCAATGCAAGCAAGAGCTCGAGCTGCAACAGCACTACAATCATCTGGTACAGCACCATCATCTTCTTCATGAACCTTTGTTCCTCCAACTCCCTCCGCTCGAAAGCCCTAAAATCCGACAAGCTAACAGTAATTGCAACTCTCTTCCTTGCACGGGCGATAATGTTAACTTGCAGCCGTCGAATCTCACGCATGGTGAGGAACAAATGATGCATCAAGGGAGTTCGAGTTTCGGTTCTTTGTATATGAATAATGGCACCGAGCAAGCGGTGGTCGATCAAGTGACTGACTGGAGGGTGCTCGATAAATTCGTCGCTTCACAGCTAAGCAACGAGGAGGCTTCTGCTTCTGCACAGACAAATGCTAAGGATCTTCGAGTCGACGATGAGGAAATGAACTTGTTGGAGAGCGAAACGAAAAGGGTTTCCGAGATGGGGCAAGAGTACGCTGCTGCTGCTGCTTCGACTTCTTCCAGCTGCCAAATCGATCTGTGGAAGTGACCAAAGAGATTAAACTCTGAAGATTCAGAAGATATATTGTATGTATACATGACATATATATATACACACACACATCACATAGACAGCACACTGATCATGTGGTGGTACAGAATATAACTAAGGATATGGAAACGGGAAGAAAATTGGAGTATCTACCTGATTCTTGAGATTTCTGTACATAATAAAATTAAAATTGTGGTATTGATTTGTATGAATTTCAATTATATTAATTGAACGTTATGCTGTAGATATATATATATATTTATGGGTACATTAATTATACGTATGATATCCTTTGTATTCAGTATGAATAGACGATCACAGATCTGACTTTGACTAAAGTTATTGTGAATGGTGTTTTTGTTTTCTCTCTAATATTAATTTCGAGCAAAAGGAGAAGGCTGAATGTTGATGATAAATCACAAGACACGGAAGGAGAAGAATTAGTACGCTACCGTTGAGATTGCGTTTGGGACTGTTCGGAACCTCTACCCCGCGAAGAGGGTTAGTAAGGGTAGACTTGTAAATTGACATGGGGAGGGTTGTTGAAACCGTTGTAAAGTCTTTTGAATACAACAGACTTCTTCCTTCCCTGCGACTCCAGTTTTCTCTTTCTGGGGGTTTGATCCGATTGGGAACGGGGTCCGTTGCATCTTCGATTCAAAGCTGTAGCTCGATTGAATTGCCAAGCTGCTTGGCCGAGACTTAGGCCCGAGGTCATCTCGGTAACCGAACTCGTAAAATCATCTCTTCTTTTCAGCTTCGTGTTCTTTGATTCGTGGTGCGGGTGAGAGATTCCGAGAGAGTGAATTCGAAGGTGCCGCAACTACAAAAACTTGCATATATAATAAAAATCCAAACTTGTGTACTCATCATAAATAAATTAAACATTATTCGATCTAAACATATAAAAATCTATTTCCCGATGATTATTACATATGTAAATTATCGAATGAATGCCCGTAATTTACGAAAACATTAATTTGCAGTTTACCAAAAAAAAAATATGAACATGCAGCAAATATAATTTATCCCGAAAAGAAAATTGGAGTGTAATAACTAACATACGTACGGACATTGTGTAAGACCTTAGCATGGATGGTTTCTGAATATTAGTAAATGCATGTAATGCAATTCTTCAGTGTATCCGTTTCAACATACAATACGAAAGGGCATCAGAACAAGTAACATGCACACATGACGCATCATATCAAATGCATTAATACAAAATCCAACTTATATGTAATAAGATATCATAATACAAAGTCTCTCTCTATATATATATAATTTGAATCAGTTGGCGTCGCAGAGACCGGTGGCATCGTCGCAGTAGCCATCGCGGCCAAGCAAACGTTGCGGCGGCGCACTGAGGAGAGGGGAAGAGGGCGAGCCGTATGCGTTTCTCCGGCTGTTTCCGCAGCCGAGGCTCTTCCTCGTGCTCACTCCCGTCACCGGATTATGCGTTTCTCCGGCTGTTTACGCAGCCGAGACTCTTCCTCGTGCTCACTCCCGTCACCGGATTTGTCCCGCTCGCGTATTTACACAGCGCCTTTAACGACATTGTAATCGAATTTAGAAAATCGAAATGTGCGCCACCCAATCCATTAAATTTCCGGTTCATCCTCTCGGTGAATATAAATTCGATTATAAAGAATCGAAAAATTCAATGTCACAACCCAATTAATCTATCTGGCAACCATAGATTATACCCTTTCAAAGGGTGTTTATAAACCTTGAGAGATAAATCCAACGGGACCGAGTTTTACGAATATTTGAAACCGTGGCTTGACGCCAGAGATCGATATCCGAAAAGCTAAAAATTCTGTAAATTTTATTTACCTGTTTTTGAGGAAGATCGATCACGGCGTCACTGAAATCCGCTCCTTCGATCTTCGCACCACCGAGATCGCTACGCGTTAGGACGGATCTAACGAGCACCGCATCCGTTAGATTCGCCTCGTTGAGCACCTTTCATCATCAAGAAAAAAGGGAACCAAGCTGTATGAACATAAGAATATTAATGTATGTATACGAATGTGACAAAGTATATGATTAATTTTTGACCGAAACACATAATATTTTACCATGCGGTCCATCAATGTATCGCTCAGATCAGCACCTGAAACAAATTACAGGTTCCGTAAATATACGATCCCGAATCAGCCAACAACCCTATGAACGAATTGTACGAAAGAATCATATTGAGATACGTCCGGGTCCTAATGGATCATCATCAAAGGTGAAAGGAAAGATTTACAGTAAGTGAACTCAAGGATATACCAAAAGGGGAAACTGTTTTAGGGTTCCAAGCCAAGAAGGGAAACCCTAATCCCTAAACCTATGTATATGTACCGGTGAAGTTTGCTCTGTATGCAACTGCTTTCTCAAGGTAGGCGCCATTAAAGGTTGAACCACTGAAATCAGACTCTCTCATGTCGGCCGAAGTGAAGTTTGCTCTTCTGTTCCCATCAACGCCCCAACCACAAAAAATAGTTCAATGAATCGGAGAAAAGAAAAGTTCCCGAATTAGATTCAGGATTCAGATAAGTGGATTTCACGCAAAAAGTTTCAAACTTTATTTCCTAAAGATCGAGATTTTCACCTGAAATTTTCGTTGACATGTACTGCTTTCCTGCAAAAAGGGACATTGCGTTTTCAGTTTGCTTCACAGATTCATCCCTTTACAACAGAAGTCAGTTCATCGTTATCCAAGACAAGAACATCATCTGATACCTGAGGTCGGCAGAACCGAACTGAGCAGCCGAACCGATCCCGAACTCACCACGTGTCTCGGCCTCGTACTTGTTAAGCTCAGCCATGGCAGGAATACCGGAGCTCAGCCCGACAATTGCAGCCGCCATTGCTGCGGACACTAGCTTTTTCCACGTCGTCTTCGACTCTGTGTTTGAACAGCAGCCTTCCCTTTTCAAAGAACAATCAATCCCTTAAGTTTCTGACAAACCCAAATCGAAAAAAAACAAACAAGAAAGTGGGTTATTCTGAATCTCACCTTGGAATTGAATCGTGGGTTTCTGGGTTTGAACGGGAAAATACACGCAAGCGCGTTAATGGGTGTCTCTGAAAATGGGTCAGAAACTTTGGAGAAAAAGTAGAAGATGATGATGATGATGATGGAAAATGGTTGAGTGGCTTCGTGGGCAGAGGAGAGAGAGAAGAGAAAGCCATTGTTGGCAAGAACAACCGGCTAGCAGAGTGAAAAATGGAGACCGGAAAGGGACTTCAAATTGTGAGAGGAGAGTATTTAGATCAGATGGGCTTCCACTTGTGGAAGATATTGATCCCTATTTCTTTTATCCACTTTGTGTTGGCCTTTCCTTTGGGTGTGGAGTGCACACGTGTGTCATTCTCCTTCACACTTTTTACACTGTGGTCTTCGACTCGACTTATTACAAAACAGAAGAAAACATGTGTTTGGAGGTGAATATTTGATGTCTTGTCTTCTTCAACAGATTGACATCAAACAATCAACAAACGGAAAACCTCGACAACTGTATGAGAAAACCGCCTTTCCCTTCTTGATTTTCTCTGGAAGTTCTTGACTTTTGGGAAGCAAGGTTTGGGTTCCTCAACATTGAGTAGAGAGAAATACCTCTCCATTATTACCTTAAACATCAGATCAGGAAACAACCTTAAACTTGTATATCAGCATCTATGGTAAACTCCAGGAACAGAGAACAAGACCTTATGTTTCAGTCACTTACAACAGCAGCATATGCGTCTGTTCTTTGCTGCCTTTTCGTTGTTGCCGAGTCCCCTGGAGAAACACAAAATGTTGGTTCAAAAATCACATGAAAAGATTCAATCTTTTTCTACCGGCAATGCTTCTACAGGCCTACAGTACAGAGACTGTTGGTAAATAAAGTTACTTTGGGATCATCGATTCAAGAATGTATCGAGCTCAGATGGGATCTTAATTCTTAAAGGCATATGGATCATGAGTGCTAAACTGGAACTCAGAGATGGGGAACAGGCAGTGACACGACAATCATTCTGTCTGAAGCTTCAGGATCATGTCCAGTGCTCATCCATCACGTAAACCCTCCAACCCCTGAAAATATAAATCTACGAATTCAGCGATTCATACAAATAATCACACCTACCGACAAGAAGAAACATCAGTACTCTCATCAACCTCCTGAAAAACCCATCAATCAAATCACAAAAAGTTCGGATTTTTACCGGAAGAATCCGATAATTCAGCAAAATTCGACTCTACTTCCTCTTGAGCTGTTCCCATAAGCCCTAATTCGAGATTTTGCCCCCTCGATGTCAAAACCCGAGAAAACCCATCACAAAAACTATCCATTTTTCTTGTTCTCCTAAACCGAATCAGGATTTGAGACACTGTGACTGAAGGAATCGAGAAATTTGAAGAACCTTGAGATATCGAACAGAGAAGACTTTTTCTGAGCGGGAAACCGGTGCGACAAAAATCCCAGATCAACTCCGAGACCGAACCCACCTCTCCAGTTTTACCGGTCGATTTCACGGCGAAGGGCATTAAATTAAGGGGGATTTCATGAATTGACGACACTGAACTGCCCATAGATCACGGGGATATTTATAGTTCTAAACGAAGAAAATAAAATAAAAACGAAACCTTCCATATGTATCAGAGTGTTTACGTCATTGATATTTAAAGCCCATTATTAACTTATGGACTGGGCCTGTTATTTTCGAGCCTTTTTCCCTTTTTAGTGTTCCATTTTTTAGAATAGCACGTAAATAAAAATGTAGTAAGAGATTTGAATTTAGACTATATGCTTTTTTTATTTGAATAAAAATCGAGAGGATGGAATAAAAGTTCACTAACTTTGAAATTATATATAAAAATACATAAAGTACTTTCTCATAAAATATAGGAACTTTTGAATGGTTTGAATATATATATAAAAAAAACAAAAAACACAACCATGTTTTAAAAAATATTTTCCGGACAAATCATGAAATAATTGTATTTTATTGATAAACAATTCATATTTGTTCATTTTTCATATTGTAAAATCAAGTTAATTTAAGTTAGACGTTAATAACCATATTAGAACATTCACTATTCTCCCTTTCACCTTAAAATTATAATCACAAACTCTTTTTTTTTTTCGGTCACTAATTGTTTGGCCGTTCTAAAAATCTTTTTAAAAAAAAAATATTTTTCCTATACGTGATTAGGAAATTTACTGTCCAATGCGTTACAAGTAGCCACCGATATAAGTAGTAGAATAGTTTCCATATATATTGAAGTATTATAAAATTATGATAAATATTGTAAAGCAGCTGCAACAATTTGCATGATTACACAATCATTTGCATCATGAAGAGGTACAAAAGATGCATGCATGTGGTACTACATCAAAGTTCAAACATTACATATGAACACTATTAATTAAGAAGCAATAATTAAACATAGGTTTTCATGTTTATTTATTTTATTTAATTGTTTATATAGTCTAATTAAGTAATTTAGTAATTAATTGCCGGGTGCATTCCAACATTAGCAGATGCCACAAACACATCTTTCATAACCGGATCTTCTCCTTCCTACATTAGAAGAATTAATATCATCATAATTATCCAAACACATTCTATTTATGATATATATTAATCCAAGTAATATACACTGAAGAAGACCACGAAAAAAATAGAACAGAGATAGGTAGATATTTATGGAAAAAAAATAATGATTTATCATTAATTTGATACGCAAATGCATATCGATGGAAAAAATTTAAAATTATTAATATTTTAAAACTTTTCACAAAAATATGGTCAGTTAGTCTGGGCTCTGAAAATATTTTTTTTAAAAAAATTGCTTATAAGAAATTAAATTGAGGGAGAAAAAGGTAAATTTACCTGCTGGCGCATGTTAGACCTTCGGGCTGACTGGTCAGGCAGAAGACCGAACTGAATATGTGGGAAGTGGGCCCACTGAAAATATTTGTGATATTATGGAACATATAAATAGAATTACAACATAATTTAGCTGTCGCAATTTACAACAGATTACAGTTTATATTTTGTTTTGTAGTCAAAACATAGGAAATATTATACTAATTTATATATAAAAAATTCTAATATTCAAATGGCAACATCAATTACAAGTTTAGGGTTTTCTATTTTATTGTTATTCCGGTAATATATAATGCTAATCAATTACGTTGCACTTCCATTAGTGTTTATATATACACACACACACAATAATTAAACAACTGTATCTATGTATGTATATATATTGGTTTTTATATATATATATCCTATTTTCTGCGGAAACCCTGGTGCAGATCACTATATGGATCCAGAACTAGGTCTAGGGATGTCAAAATCTTAGGCTAAATAGAGAAACTGATGATTATTTAATCTTACATTTTTTGCAGCAGCACTGAATGCTTCTCTGTGTGTAATATTCGGATTCTCTGCCTTTATCCGTTGGATCTCTTCCCTGTAATCACACGGTCACGTTATAAATATATATATATACGTGCGCATGCGCTGTGTGTATTTGTCTACATATATAAACAAATTAATACGTGTATATATGCATGTCAGAACACATGGATAGGGTGGGTATTATATAATGTTACATTGACAAAACATTAGTATGGATATGATCAGTGAAATATACACACATAACAACATTTTAAAAGTTATATATAACACTATTCTGGAACCTCGAGGTTTTTTTTATAGAGGGGCCGGATATAGTACTGTATTATATACTTATTTACAAATAATAAAAATCTAAGACAACCCTAGTAAAATTCATAAGCATCCGGTGGACGAATCCATCAAAGTTTAATTTATGAGAAAATATATATATTATATGTGAAATATTAGATTTTATGAGAAATATGAAAGTTTTCAAGAGAATGGAATGGAAAATATAAGTGAGAAACGATGATTTACTTGATGAAGCGGTTGTAAGCAGAGGGGACTCTTTGCCTCTTCTCCTGAGCTGAAGAAAATCAAAGGAGAAATAAGAAAATTTATATATGAATACTCTGACAAATCACATTCTTTAATTATTCGAATAAGGTACTGTGATCACCATCATTTTGTAATTATTTACCTTCTTTTTTCACGCACCGATTTGATTATATATATATATATACACACACACACGCACACATAAAAATACACTCTCCAATGCACATCCGTGAGTGTACACAATTTATTTCATCTCACGAGAATGAATTCTCTAAAGAAAATAGAACATTAACAGTTGCTGTTTTGGATCTTTTGCGGTTTGATATTTTTTTATAATCGGGTATCCTGTACCAAGATCTATACTAATCCGGGGATCGGAGTCAGTCGGGTGATTTAGAATATACGCTCCCTTCCCAAATTTGAAATTTGAATTCGAGACGGAACAGACGTTTTGTACCCTATTTTACTGGTTGAACTAGCCAAGTTTAGGTTTTTGCGGTTTGATGTTATTGTAACCTTTTTGTATTTATAATATATCAAAAGATTTAGAGAAGATTACGTAATATAATCTTCTCTTCATATATATATAGTAATGTACTCAAAGACTGATATAAATTCACATTAATATCCAAGAAAACACCATAAACATGCATGTGGTGTTTGAAATATATATATAATATTTTCTGGGAAAATTTCGATAGTTGCTGATCATTATCACATAATCATATCAAAGAATGAAATCTCTAAATTATGAGATGATGGCTAAGATGTTGTGGACGATCCAAATTATGTCAACTAAATGACATATATTATGACGATCAATATCAAACCTCATTTTTTTCTCCATTATATGATAGATCATTATTTTTTAATTGTGTATATCTCGTTCTTGATAAACCATGAAAATAACTAGAGCTGAATATTTACTGTATAGATGTGCCAAATATTATCATATAAACTATAGAATATATACTAACAGTCGACGGGTTTTGAATTTTGTCCATGTTTGTATGAGCATATATATTTATCCAGCATGCATACATATTATCATGTTATAGAACTAAGATGATTGATTAGTTAACTTACGTTTCTTTATAACTTGATGAGGCCGTGGAAGCTCCTTAGCCACTCCTCGAGGGCATGGTGGTGAAGCAGCGAATACGTGTTTTCCGTTCGCTTCACTAATCATATGGTTCATGTTGGGGTTCTGTATATCGCCCTACAGAAAAATATATATAACATATATACGTATATATATAGAAAACTCTTGAGTATATACATCAGATACTTTAGATATGACTCTAGAAAATTATTAGTTTTGTTTAGTACCACGAGATTTTTATGAGGGAGTAGGTTATGACCAAAACCCTGGAATTGATTGAGTGTTGGGAAGAGCGAAGAAGGCATATTGACCGGCAAGAGAGTGGTGCAGTGGCCACATCGAACCGTCACGGTCTTGGACAAGCTTGTGCTAGGAACACTCACCTATATATATATATATATATGTATGTATGTATGTATGTATATATGCACACATCAAACCCTAAAGGATTCACAACACAAAAGAAGTAGAGAACAAAGGTGGAACTCGTGCAGGAAACCCTAGGGTTTTTTATAAATAGCCTGCGTTGAAGAACCTTAATTGGTTCCGAAACAGATTCATATGATAATCAAGAACATATGCGTATAGATATACATGTGCATCTGTTTGTATCGACCTTTATTTGGATGCCAAGATTCTTAAAGAAAAGGGGTTGAGTTATATATATATATTTGCACATATATGGAAGTAAAGTAAGCTTACAGCGAGAACAGTGTCGCAGACGTTGCAATGGACATAGCAGAGCTGTTCATGGAGAGGTTGGTCAGAGGAAGAAGAGGAGGAAGAAGAAGACATATCCTCGGAAGTAGCTTCTTTAAGTAATGGAATTTTGATGATTGGCTCTTCTCTTTCTCTTTGATCTTTGATACAATTGATTTGACAGATTTGATGGTATAAATATTATATATAGAGATATATTTTAACCTAGCAGCAGAAATCTTGAGATCATATATATGCAAATTCGGCCTGAAAAAGAAGATAACGAAGAGAAAAAGCTCCGAGAGAGAGAGAGAGAGAGAGAGAGAGAGAGAGAGAGAGAGAGGGTTAAGAGAGATAGAGAGACTTTGGGTTGGTTGGTTGGTTCGAGGAATTATTTAAACCATTTCTCTTAAATGAGCTTATGGCCTTGTTTGGAGGCTCATGAATGAATTTCATGAATTGGGGATATAAAAAATCAATCGAATTTTCACCGCTATCGGTGAATCGTTCAACTTAAATGACGAAAACTAAACAAACCACCACATGCTTTAATACGTTGAAATTTTCGAGTTATCATATATAGATAGGAAAAGATTATATATCCCAAAAAGGTATTTAATTTAAAATTAAGTATAGCAAATTATTGTTTGTATCAAGACGAATTGCAACATGGAAATTATAGTGCAAATCAACTAGTGAATGCGTTCATATATATACATATACATATGGTCATTGTACAAGAGTAGATATGTACGCATTTCTCAGACAAACAAGTATGAAACACAAGTAGTCGCAATGTGAAGACAAGTGGACTTGTGGTTGGGATTCCCAAAGCTGATTAAGAGAGAGAGAGAGAGAGAGAGAGAGAGAGAGAGAGAGAGAGAGAGAGAGAGAGAGAGAAAGCAGAGAAAGGGACGTTTGCATGGAGGCTCATAAAGCTTTCGCTCTCTCACCCGTTCCTTTCATTTGTTTTTAACACTCTGTCCTTCACTTCACTTCTCGATTTTCCTTTTTTTATTTTAATTGATTTTCTTGTTTATTTTTTTATTTCTGATATTTCCTTTTAAAAAAAAAACTGTTTATCTGAGTTGGTATCTCTATCTTCTTCTACTTTCTTTTCTTCCCCTAAATTTCCGAACCCCAAAAACCCTAAGTCCCCTCCCCCTTATCAACTTTGCTTCATACAAGAAGGTCACAATCACCCTATACATACACTTATACATACACTTATACACTACGCAAACATGTATTAGAAATTCTCGTAATAATTACTAGTTCATAAATAGTATAGTTCTTAAACTATTTATGAAGTTTTATAAATCGTAGATTCGAAGATACGGAAGATTATGCTACATTTATGGTTTTTTGTTAAGTTTGAATAGGCGACAGATACCTTGCATTCAAAAAGTCTAAACTCTTATTTATTGTTGCGAATATATATTTCGTCCCACGACTTTTATAAATGTAAAGATATAACAGATGATTAGAGATACTTTTAATTAGGAATTGTTGCTCAATTTATAGAGAAAACATTGAACCTTGAATACGTATACATTTTATCATAGTAACATATATAGTCGTATATCGTTTTTTTTACGCTGATTAATGATTAGATTACAAGCACGCCCATATAATCTTTAAGAACAATTATATATATACATATGCAAGAATTTGTGTTGAATTTATATGTTGGATTATAAATATATCGGCGTATGCATCATAAATTGCAAAATGTTAGGATCTGGTGCCAGATGTCATCATAGCACAATCAAGTCACATATAGGAAAGAGTCTACAAGAATATGTACATATATACATATATACATGTAATATATATATATATATATATATGTATGTATATATAATAAAGGGGTAACACGGGTAGAAAATAGTTAAGAAAGTTTGAGTGATTTGACTGTTCGATATGACCTTACAGACATATATCCAGTAAATAATGTATTGAAGCTTTTATCAGTCTCTGTAATCTCTGTATATCTTTAGGGTTCCTTTTTTTTTTCCTGCCATCTATAGGGTTTTTAAATTAGGGTTCATAACTCAGCCATCTTAAATTTTACTATTTCATAAAACAAAAATTTAGATAAAATTATTTGACTCTCTATCTCTCTCCCTATATATATATATTAAGCTTGAAATGTAATATTAGCAATGTCATGTGGAATCCAAGGTCTTAATCATTTATAGTTGATTAAAATTTAATGATTTCTTATCACTAATTTCCTATATATTTTAATATTTTATCATTAGTCAGCCTTACCATTTAAAACTATCAATTCATAATTTCGAGCAATATATTCATATATTTTGATATATTCTCAACCCAAACAAAAACATTTTTATTTTATAATTAACAGTAAGAAGAATCCATCTCATTCAACGGTGTTCCATCGATTCAGTCAATTCTAACGTTGTTATCATTTGGACCCCTAATTGTCGAACCATCAAGGCGTAATGCATCAATCAGCCCATCTATTAATAACTATCACACGCGCCACCTAAAAGCGCGTGGAATTCAAAACATAAGATAATTCTGAAGCCCATAACTCGTTGGGCTTACTATTTTAAGGCCCATTAAGACTAAGAGTTGGATGTTTTGGCCCACGAAAAAAATACAAAATAGGTAAATTTTTTATAATCCATAAAGTCATCAAGTCTTTAATTCAATTACATCTCCCACAACCCACAAGATTGAAAAAGTGTGATGAATATCTCTCTTTACACTTACATTTGAATCTAAAATAACCCGTAAATTCATCGAGTTTTTAATTCAATTACATTTTATCCTACCGATACACATTGGAAAAAAACCCAAGTAAGTAAATAAACAATCCATAAAAAATTACAATTTTTTAAATGATATACAAGAAAATAAGCGTTGGTTCTATTAGTATCTCCGGGTAATAGTATTTATAAGATATCTTCAAGTTTAAAATTAGTTATTTACACCAAAAAAAAGTTTCAAATTAGTTGGATTATAAAATCCAAATATAAAAAGAAAAAAAAAACATAACAAATTCTCGACAATATGTCAAGATTCGGATCAAAACGAACGGTAAAGGAGATATAATACAAAAGAGAGAACGGTAAAAACAAAAATTCCTCTAATAGTAAAATTCTTTGTTAGGGGAAGATCGTAATCAGGTGAGGAGTGAATGAAAGCATTGTTCATCTGCCACACCTTAAACGACGCCGTAACGTTAGCTCCGGTGGCGTTGTTGAACAAAAACAACTTGGCTCCTTCGTATATCGCCTTTGTCGGATACACCCTTGTCGTGATACACGTTCTCCCTCCTTGTCCGAATCCTTCTATTATCGAATGGTCCACCTATTTATAAAATATTTTATAAAAAAATCGAGAAAATTTAATTTTTTTTAATTATGGTAATTTTTAAAGCTATATTGATATGTTAATAATATATGATGAATTAGTGTACCAGTATTCTCATGGTTAATTTCTCTCCTTCGAATACTGGTGTGAAGCCACCGTATATGCCTTTGTCGACATCGTTTGCCACTGACGACCTGTTTAATAGAAAATAATTCAGCATATCGATATGATACTATATAATATACACTAAATTATGATAATTCAGATTTCCATTAAGAAAACAATCTCAAAGGAAATAAATATCAAACTTGTTAATTAACAAAAAAAACTGTAATGTACGAACCTTGAGGTATCTGTGCAGAAGAAAGTCTTGAGCTTTGAATCTTTGCCCTTAGTGACATAGAAGTAAACCGGAGTTTGCTCCGACAAGCCCTCGTCGGAGATTACCGACAACCCGAACGGTCCGAGGGCCCCACGGCTCGCCGCTCCTCTGCAGCTGAGTTCCTCCTCGGCCGCTGCTGAGTCTCCGGCTAATCTTTCAAGAGCCGCCTTCTCGATCTCGAACTCGGCCTCAATGTCGAGCTGAGCCGCCGGGCCCACGTCTACCGGAACTATGGTCCCTGGTCCGACCTCTACCTTGAATTCCGTGCTGTTCAGTCTTAGAGATTCAATTTCTTCGACGGGCCATTGAACCAGGTTCTTACCAGTCTTTGTGTCTAGGGCTACGGTTCTTGGAATGCTCTGAAATATTTATGCGCGAGAGAACGTATTAATCCTCTAATTCTGGACCGAATGTACATTTCAAGTGGGCTCCTAAAAGACTTGGATACTATTTTGGACAAATATTATATGATGATTTGCTCCTTTAGAAAAATCTCATTTGTAACTTGGGTCACAAGCAAAGATAAAAACCCTAACTTGAACCACAAGTGAAGTAGAGCACGAACCTGAAGAGAGGACCAACCCTTCTTTACATCAGCAGACTCGCTATCAGACTCGCTGACCCAACTCCACAAGATTCTCCGGCCCTTATTCTGATCGTAAAACGTCTTCGATGCGTAGAATTTCCCGTAATCGTACCTCAATCCGAACCCGACATCCATCGTTGCATCGTCCGGAACCCACGTCCCGTTCTCTTCAAAGTAGGTCCCGATCGCGTAATAATCGATCCTCGTTTCGTCCATACTAGCCTTCATGACGTGCCTGACTTCTGGGCCGTTGACCGATGTGTCGAGACCGTTGACCGATGTCGTCGAGACAGGGAAAAAGTCAACGCACTCCCACATGCCGGTGTCCGGAACTTGGTGCAACAACGAGGGGAGCTGTTGGAAAGTCTTGAAGTCGGCTGTGTCGTAGAGGAGGGAGATTCCGGTGCGGTTGACCTTGGAGCCGATGGTTAGACGCCATTTTCCAGCGGAAGTACGCCATGCGGTGGTCGGATCTCGGAAGTCTTTGCGGTGGATCCCCGGTGGAGAAACGAGGACAGGGTTGCCGGAATATTTCTCCCATTGTAGAAGAAGTGGGTCGTTTGGGTCCTTAGGGTAAGCCAAGTTTTGAACCTTTACAAACACATTAATTCAAAACCCTGATTAATTAAACCCAAAAAGAAAAATCATGAAATCTAACTAAGAAATGACAAACTCATTGATGGATTTTCCCCCCAAGTTAACACGTGGACATTTGAGATAAACCAAATTATAAGTCTATTGAAACATAACAAAGGGTTGATAGACTTGGGGTGGGGCATTTACCTGGGCAAACTCATGGGTGGAACCGGTGTAGAGCATGACGACTGAGCCATCGTCGAGAGTGGTGGCAGAGCCGGTCCAGACGCCATTGGCATCGTACCATTGATCAGGGACCATGGCTAAGGGAAGATGGAGCCAATGGATCAGGTCCTCTGAGACGGCATGGCCCCAAACAATAATGTCTCCCCACGCGGCTCCCTTTGGGTTATATTGGTAGAATAAATGGTACCATCCCTTGTAGAACAATGGCCCTACTCACACATATATTGTGCCCATAATCACAAACTTTTAAAATAAAATTTTTTTTGGATGATCAATCAAAATGCAATGGACCAACAGATCTTTTTTAAAGAATCTAAATAAAGATATATGTTTTTAAGATTAGTCCATTTATATAGATTTTGAACATCCCGTACTAAAAGAACATATGTATGTATATATGTGTGTGTGTATATATATACACAAAAAGATCTCAGCGTCTCTACAAACTGGCAAAAGAACGTGTAAGAAGATGGATCTAATTGGCTGTGAAGACTTTTCATTCAGATTTTGTCTATCTACTTTTTACTTTTTAGGCTTATTTTCTGGAAGACGACATGGCATTGTCCTATTTCTTACCTATTGTTAATTCAATAATTTCATATATTTTAATTTTAAGTTCACGTATATATACATATAAACATGTATAACGACAAACACCAACCTAATACATCGACAGACATGGCATCTAACACAAGAAATGAATTAAAACTTACCAAATTCCAAGATTTTCTAAACTTTATATTATTATATATACATATATATATATAGAGAGAGAGAGAGAGAGAGAGAATCTGATCCGAAACTTACCATTAGGATCTGGAAATGAATTTCGCCACCCAACATCGCCCGAGTGAAACGAAAAAAAAAAAGAATTAATTCGAATTTGGTTCAAAATTACAAGGCAAGAAAAGATACCGACATTTTTTATACAAAATACATTTCAAAATACAAATGAAAGAAAGAGAAAAAGGAAAACATCTTTTTGTTTGCCATTTTTGTTCTTCTGAAATTAGCAACTGAATTAATTTATTTTCGTTTAGGGTTTAGCGTACGTACCGTTCATCCAATTCTTCTCGGGCTGAAAATGGAAGGCCGTCCTCTGCCACGTCAGCATGCTGTTGTCCCATGGGAACTCCGCCATCGCCGGATCTCCGTTCCGGATGCCGGAGAATCTCCACCGTTCGCCGCTCTTCTCCGAGACTCCGGCGATACGTTCACGTGTCTTCGCCGCGACGGTCGCATTTCCCGCGTCGATGACGACAGCCCGAGGCGAGGACCCGTCGTGAGTGGCGATGAGAGCTGCGTACAAAGCGATCAAGAAGAGGCCGGAGGACACGGCGAGTGGTCCGAATATGGGCCGCCGACGGCGGGGGGGGGC